CCCACTATCTCATTTTTTAAGTTTCAAGTTAACTATTCTACACCACAAAGCCATGCATTCACTAAGCTTCCACCTATCAGGATACATTAGCAGTTGCTTTAGTAGAATGAGATTATCCTTTGCAATTCTGTTGGCTGTCTAGCCATTATTGTCTTTTTCTCACTCTTAAATAAAGGTTGAATATATGATGTGGCATGAGTGGTCAATTAAAATGGAAATATAAAATGACATCATATGTACTGTGGAGGAGTAAAATGATAGATGGCCTTGTTCACCCTGCTGTCCTATCCACCCTTGTCTCATCTGCCAGAGGCCCTAAGAGATTGATGAGATCATCTCCCAATGCTTGTCCATATACCCGAATACACAGAGCCTCCAGCTCATGAGCCATCCTGTCCAGTGTCTGCATGGTTTCATCCTGTTGTATTTGGAAATCATACATTCAATCCTTGTAGTATTGGTGGTGGGCCTCAGCATTGCAGAGTCAATGTTCCAAATCTTCAATTCACTCTTTGATTGTGTTGGATGTTTGTGACACCTTGGCAATTGGGGCACAGACAGGTGACAGTGCACTGGGATTTGCAGTGGTTGTGAGTTGGAGGGGTGCTGCTGTTGTTGATGGGCAGGTGTCTGCTTTGAATAGAAGGGTTAACTGTGATAATTAGTGGAAATGTAGAGTGATTAAATGTACCTGCTGCTGTAGATCCCTCTACCTCCTGCACAACAGATGGGCCAGCCTCAATGATCAAATCTGCTTGTACGGTGGCTGGGATTGGGCGGAAATCCCTGCATTTGAATGCAGGAATATGAATCTCTAAATAAAATTTGAGTCAGCATAAATACATGAAACTGTGAACATGCTGAGTGAAGATCCCTCAGGGATTGTCTCTCCTGGTTGGAGGGCCCAACCCCAGTGTTGATGGCTTTGGAAGCCATTGAAACATGTCACTTTGGGGGACATTCCTTTGGGCTTTGGGATTCTTGGGCCTCCATCATTGGGGACAGACTTCAAGCTCACTTTTTTCCCCTGGCTCATGATGGATTCTGTTGAGTTGGAGTGGCAATCCCACCTTTGGCATGGCTACATCAAATCTTGTGACTGTCACATGGGAAGCAGGACTTCCCAGGGTTCTTGTAGCATCAGACCTTGTGTCTGTGGCATGACTTGCAGGAATGGGGGTCAGGGGAAGGTGTCCTTCTGGCAGCTACAGCAGCACGACCGTATAGTCTGTCTGATGGTGGATGAGGCTTGTGTTTTGATTGGCCTTGAGCAGGAATGTCTTCATCATTGTCAGTTTCCACTGTTGCCTTCCTAGAGTGGGATCAATGTCTGGATCGATGGGATGTCATTTTTGTGGCAGCTTTGTGCTTCTGCCTGCCTCGCACTGGTTCTTCCTCATCATCCTCCTTCTCTGGCACCTCATCTTCACCCTCATCATCCACCTCCATCCTGTGCAAGCTATCTGCTATCATTTGCTCCACCTCTGCCTCAGTCACTTTCCATTTTCCTTTGTTGCTCATAGGCATTTCGGTCTCTTGAGCAGGTGGTGTTGGTGTTGGCACCATGTGGGGCATAGGGAGGCCCAACCAGTGGTAGTCAAATTGATGCTTGATGATGTTGAGCCACTTGTGGTTGGCAACATCAGTTTTGGAAGGGGATAGGGTGGTCTGCCACTCAGGCCATGGGTGCTCAATTGAGCCAAGGTCTTCATGCCACTTTAAGAATGTGTCGATGCTGATGAGGGTCATCAGAATCTCATCCATCCTAGTGATGAGGTCACACACAGCATCCTGAATGCATCAGTTAGTGAAAAAAATGTGATGATGCTATGACACACTAGTTCATCATTTATCACCTTGATGGCACCTCTCCACTTTGCAATCTTGTCTGCCTTTCCCAGCTTGCTGCTTTCTATGATATCCTTGAAGTAAATTTGAAGGATGCAGTTGGCCACAGCATCGAGCTCAGGCAATTTCTTGAAGAGCTTGCAAGATGATGACAACAACATGTTTCTGATGATGAGATGATGGAGTAGTTTGATGGTGAGAGTGGTGATGGTGATTGGAGAGTGGAAGAGTCAGAGGTTAAAGACAGATGATGAGATACACAGATGTCACATTTTTTATCCTGCCTATGAATGATTCCCACAGCACAATGGCAATACTAGTACAAGTCAATAATCCTGAATGCATATATGAAGCAGAGGCTCAGATAAAAATATGATGCATTGTTCTGGAATAGCATTGCTGTTTGTTTTGCATGTTTCCCATCTGCTCCAATGGTGGAGCCTGGCTCACAGCTACATAGACCAGTGCCTGAGATTCCAACTGAATAGGCAAATCATCCAATGTGAAACACAATTTATAGTGGGAAATTCAGATACTCTATAGTGCAAGAGGTTCCACTTTCTTCATTTCTTGTCTTCCTGGGCCTGTCTTATGCAGTGCCAAGGGTTTGTAATCCTGTGATGGATGGATCAGCCCATCTTATGTTGTAACACTGGTTTTTGTTTTCCCTTATCTGCTGCCTGAGAATACCATGGATGGGCCCATCCTTATGTAGATCCCTTTGATCTCCCTTTCTGCTGCCTGAGAATGCCTTACATGGACCATCCTTATGTAGATAGCTTGGATCTCCCTTTCTGCTGCCTAAGAATACCATACATGGACTCATCCTTATGTTGCAACAGGGGTGCATCTTGCTAGATGGGCCCATCCATTTGTTGTGATGATATACATGATACTACTGAAGGGCCTGTCCTTATGTTGTGATGCTATTAGATGATATTACTGATGGGCCCATCCATATGTTGCGACAATATAAACAATACTACTGAAGGGCCTGTCCTTATGTTGTGATGCTATTAAACAGCATTAGTGATGGGCCCATCTTTATGTTTCAACAGGGTACATCTTACTGGGGCTGGGCCTGCCCAAATGTTGTGATGATATAAATAATACTACTGAAGGGCCCATCCATAAGTTGTGATGCTATACATGAGATTACTGATGGGCCCATCTTTATGTCTTGTCAGAGGTACATCTTACTGTGGACAGGCCTGTCCATATGTTGCATAATACTACTGACAGGCCTGACCTTCTGTTGTGACTCTATTAAATGATACTAGTGACAGGCCCATCTTTATGTTGTGACACCATAAATGATATTACTCTGGGCCCATCCATATGTTGCCAACTTTGTATTCTAATCATAGACAGGCCTGTCCTTATGTTGTGACCCTCTCCATGTTATGATAGGTGGGCCTGCCTTGATGTTGCAACAGGGGTGTAACCTACCAGGACAGGCCCATCCATTTCTTACAGCAACTCAGTATACTTAATTGGTCACAGGCCCATTTAAATGTTTCAACATCCTTACCCACAGCAGGCCCTCCCATATGTTGTGGTAATGCACTTACAGGCCTGTACATATGTTGCTCTCACTTTAGTCCCTCAGGCCTGTCCATGTGCACTGGCTAATCTATTTAGGTGGGCCCATCTTGGGGTCTATATAAGTGTTGGTGTTTTGGCACACAGGCTGCCCATGTGTTGTGACTAAATGTGACTACACTATATGAGAGACCCACCCCAATATCATAATTGGAGTGCATGGAACTGTTGGCATCTGTCATCCAACTCAGAGGAAACAGCAACAGATGTTGATGATCTCACCACTGTGGAATATTGAAGGGAGAGATGCTGGACCACTTTCCTCTTCATTTCTTAGTGAAAATGGATTGAACACAAACATTGATAGATCTTGGAGAGTTTGTCTTTACCAGTGGAACTGCACAACAAAAATGTTCTGAATGAAAATGAAAGCATCCCTGACTCCCAAGATAGTGGGGAACAGATGCAAAAAATCCCTACTCTGCCAAGTGAACAACCCCATGACCCCCAAATTCATTTCTCAGTAACCACCAACAATGAGCCTGCCACAGGGGGCTCAGACCTTTTCCTTTCTTATCAAGCAGCACAGCATGCTCCTTCACAGCCCTTCCACTGGTCGTGTTAGGGTGCATTAATCTGAGTGCTGGTGTATTCCAAGGCATTATCTGAATTTCAAACCCACTACAACTGCTGGTTGTGTGAGGGAAGTAAAGTTGTAGTGGGTTTTGAAATTCAGACAGAAAACTGAGCCTGCATTCCTCACAGCCTCTCTTCATCCTGAATTGCACCCCAACTGGAACACATCAAGGTGCCATCCTTGCTCCACAAGTGAAGAGTATGTGGTCAAAGCTTTGATCCCTTCTTGTTTGGCTGGTGAAGTACAAGCATTTTAGCCTTTTAGGAGCACCATTTGGCAAATGTTGTTGAGAATACAGATCTCTGGGGCCCTGGTGGCCAGCATACCCCATTTGTGGCTGAACAGTAACTAAGTCAGTTTATTGTCACCTCTACTGATAAGGTGGAGTGTCTAAAACAGCCAGTGGGACCAGCACACATAATGTACCTACTTTGTACCATATCATATGACCAAACAAGGTTGACAATTGGCTGTGTTGCACAGACTGGCTAAAGTTGAGCCCACCTCTGAGTTGTCATTGTGTCACACAGCATAGCCATGATCATTGGATGTCACCATACTGCACAGTGTGGCTGAGGGGTTACTACTATATACATCTTGCCTGGATAATCCTGGCATGGATTCTGGCAAGTTGGGAAAGGTCTGGCACTAACCTGGTGTGGGCTCACTGGCATGAGCCCAGCATGTGTCAGCAATTGCCAGTGGGTCAGAAGGCATTCCACTGTAATTCTATTGGGTTGGTATGAATGCCAGGCTAATTCCAGTAAGCTGGGACAAATGCTGGGATAATGCCAATAAGCCAGCAAACATACCAGTCTTATGCTAGTGGGCCAGCACAGATGCTAAGGTGGTGATGGTCAGTTGGCATGGATGCTGAGCTAATTCCAGTTGGCCAGTATGGATGACAGCCACCACACTATTTCCAGTGGGTCAGAAGGCATACCAATGTACATCCATTGGGCTGGTATGAGTTATGGCCACTTCTAGTATGCTGGGACACATACTGACCTTATGCAGGTGGGCTGTGATGGGTACCTGGATTATGGTGGGTAGTTGGAATATACAGCTAGCCAGCTTTCATGCTGGTATTAGTAAGCTGGCACCCATACCAGTATAGTGCAAATATGCTGGAATAGAGGATAAGCTGGTGGTGGTTTGTGGGCATGGATGCTCATCTAATTCCAGGTGGGCCAGATGGATCACAGTCTCCAGGATATTTTCAGTGGTTCAGAAAGCACACTAGTGGGATTCTATTGGGCTGGTATGACTTCCTGACATTTCCAGTTAGCTGGGTCAGATCCCATGTTATTGCCAGTGAGCTGGGATATCTACTGGGCTGAATCTAGGGGACCAGCAGGGGGTCAAGGCTGGTGACAGTTGGTTGGCATCAATTCCTAACTAACTCCAGTTGGCCGGGATGGATCACAAACTCCAGGCTATTTACAGTGGTTCAGAAGGCATTCCAGTGGGATGGTATTGGGCTGGTATATGTTTTGGCCAAATCCAGTCAGCTGGGTTAAATTCCCAGTTGATGACCATGACCTGGGACACCTACTGGCCACATTATAGTGGGCTGGCACAGGTCCAGGGCTGGTGGCAGTTGTTTGGCATCAATTCTGAACCAACTCCAGTTGGCCAGGATGGATGACACCCTCCAGGCTATTTACAGTGGTTCAGAAGGCACTCCAGTGGGATTCTATTGGGCTGGTATATGTTCTGGTCAAGTCCAGTCAGCTGGGCCAAATTCCCAGTCAATGGCCATAACCTGGGACACATACTGGCCTTATGCTAGGGGACTGGGACAGATGCCCAGCCTATGGTAGTTGATTGGCATGGATGCCCAGTGAAGGCCACTTAATGTTACCAGTGTAGATGATGGGCTAGTCTTTTGGAATCCCCTGGTGAATGGATGAGCCATACAAATAGTGTCCCATATATATTGGCTCAGCTGGGAAGCTATTGTCTATGGGGCTTATATATCAGTGGCCCATGTAATAAGGCTCAGCTGGACCTGCAGTGTTCCATTTGGAATGGTAGGAGCATATTTCAGTGTGCTGTGCACATTGGCCTCAGCCCAAATAGGAGTGCCCATGTACCATGGAGGGCTTATAGTCCATTGTACCATGTCCTTGGGGAGGGCCCAGATATTATGATCCCATAGGACAGGCTGGATGAATACTCCAGTGTTTCATGGTGTACAGGAGGCCCATGATACAGTGTCCCATCTGTCTCAAATCAGCCCATGTATTATGATCACCAATCCATGTGGTCTGGCACATATGCCATGGTCTCATGCACAACAAGCAAGCCAATCTCCCAGTGTGCTGTCTGACTGGATTCAGCTCGAGTTGAAGTGTTCCACCAATTACAGGCCAGCCATAGTCAATATTTGGGGGAGGTATATGGAAAATAACTTGGCTTGGGATGGCATATAATATCTATAGAACTACCTTTACATGGACCCCCTATTGGATAAGTGTAGGTTATATGGAATGTCCCACCAGACCTGCAGGCATCAACCAAGTCCAGACATTCTGAACTCTCATCCAATCCCCATGGGGTATCCCTATCCAATTGTGTATGTTGTCCCTCATGTAGTAGGCAAAGCAGCATCGGCTCCCACCCACAGAACTAACCCCATGTCGAAGAAGCCTTCTGGAAAATGCAACTACAGTGCCAGGGTTGTAAAGGCACTGAAGGCCAAGCATGTGGATATCCAATACACAATCTTCATAATCACCAACCATGACCAGCATGTTATACCAATTGGACCATGAGTGTGAGTCCTGGTGAAAGGGTGTGGTCTGGTTAGAGATTATGGAGACATAAGTAAAAACCAACAGACAGTGCTGCAAGGCATCATGCATATCTTGGTTATGCTGACTTGACCATGTGTCCAATAACTGCATGGCTTGCCTTCCAGCATCATACAGGCCTGGGTGCATAATTGAAAGCACACCAGAGAGGATGGTAGCCAGGAGGTAAGACTGCTGGGACCATTCACAACTGGCATCCATCTGTAGGTCAGTGGAAACTGATGGGGAAAAGTTCATGGTCTGGATGCCACTTGAGAGACATACCCCTGAGGTAATATAACCATACCATATGCCCCTGTTGGTGCCTGGCTGGGGAAAACTCCAGGCACCCTGGTGACTGTGAAGTGTGATTGAAATATTCAGCATTTTTCCACCAGGAGCCACTTGTCATACTCTTGGACATTGTGTGGTGAAGGGGGTCCAGAGTGGCAAGCATGTGTGTCTGCAGGGATGCCTGAATAATATAGAGTGCAAAGGAAATGTTTGAACTGACTTGCAAATCATTGGTGATGGCACTGGGAAGGTACCACAATGCAATGGTATTGCTGGTACCAAGGATTACCATAGGTTCATCCACAAAGCCAGTGAGACTTGATGGATGCACTTCCAGGTGGCCTGCCTCCCAGGTTTCATTAGCCCCCAATTCCATAGCTGAAAGGTGCTCAGAAAGCTGGATCAGATCAATGCCACTTTGCTCTGCAATACAATTTACATTTGACTTTACATTCAGCTGGGACATCAGCTTACTTCTATTATTGTATGCTGCATGCATGCTGGCCACTATCTGATTCATAGCAACAATGCCATATGTTGGAATGTAGAGTGGAGGATCTGGTTTGGGGGTGTTATGCTTCCATCAGGGGTCTTTCCTTTTTCAACTTCTCTCGATCACATGCATCACGTGCCTGGTCGTGTCCCTAATAATCATCACCATCCTAGGGGCTTGAATGCTCCAGGGAATGTTCAGATCTCCAGCTGTCAAGGTATTTCCAATACCTGTTGAGACCACGTTGCCACTGTGATCCGGTATTCCACTGCCCTCTCTGATGGACGACTTGTTCCCTTTTCACTTTTGTGACTCGTCTCTGACTCGGTTATATTGCTTACATGTTGTACTATAGCTCCGGTGTCTGGCTCCTCACTGCACATTGATTGTGCCAGCCAGTATAGCCTTCATTGCCTCCCTACCCCCATCACTGACACTGTACAACTCCTATTTATTTGACTGATCGGTTTGTTGATTACTGCAGATATGCATCCATTGTGACTGCTACTTGTACTTAGGGGTATATAATCCTACATACTCCATCCTGTATCTGCAGTTTTTTGATAGCTTGCAACTGAGCTTCATCCCTTCACTTTGTCCTTGTTCTCTCTCTGTGTGAACAACCTTAGGGACTTGCCAGTAGACAGAACCTCTGTCAGATCATTGTGATAACTCAGCCATAGGGGTTATGACAAGTTCAGCCCTGTAGACTCCCACCTCATGCACTTCGTGCCTATTCCATTTGAAGAAGTCACTATGCTCAGGCATAACAGGGGGCATTTGGTCCTGGGAAGGTTTGACTGGAGAATTCCCAGTGCATATAGTGTGTAATATCCTGGGTGGCACTGTGATTTATTGCCATTAAGAATGGAAGGCAATATAGCAAGCATGGTGTTGATGATGAGTTATCTGGTAGCTGTAGTGTGTAGTATGGAACTGTGGCTATGTATGCCAGTGTTTTCCAGACCATAGTGAAGCTGCCATGGTTACATGGCATTGGTAAATGACCATTCTGGCCTTTGAAAACAGGTGCCACCATGGTGGCATAGTACCTCTGGCTTCCACATATTATTCCAGCATGGTATAGGTACCAAGATAGAGGCAATAGATAACAAGTTCTGCTATGGCTCCAGTGCTAGCTACACTTCCTACCACACTGGTTCCATTTCATGGTGTTCATGTTCCTTTATACACCCTGCCAAAGCATTAGATGGTGGACTGGGGCCTTTCAACCTAATTTCATACTCCACAGCCATTGAGAAAACATGATGCAGCCTTTTCTAGTACAGGTCTGGCACTAGCTACACTTCCTACCACACTGGTCATATTTCAGCATGTGGACCTTTCATTATACACTGTCCACAAGCATTGGATGATAGCCTGGGGCCTTTCCAACTAATTGCCTATTCCACAGCCATTTAGAAAATGCAATGCTGCCTTTCCCAGTACTGGTCCAGCAGTGCTGGTAATGCATAGATTCACTATGGTATCAACATTGGTCTTGTTCAGATTGATATCCAGCCACTTGGCCCATGATAACTGCTGTGCCAGGATAGGCCACTTGCTATTCTGGCCTCCTGGGATGTGATTATTGATGATCTCTTACCTTGTGGTCATCACATGTGTCAGCCACATTGCTATGTAATAACATTTGCACCTGATCCAACTCTACTCTGAATCACCATGGATGTCAGGACTGCTAATCTATCCTACCTCTCCATGATAATCCAATACATTGGTGTCTGATTTAGAGAGTTCACATGTGCTTTGCAGCAGGCTAACAACCCAAGCAATCAACTGCCAGATGACTGGTATCAGCAGGTTCAGGTGGAAACAGTGAGTTTGTCAAAATGGATGCTGGTTCACTGTGTCACGCACTTTTCCACAGCATATATTGAAGCAGGCCCTGGCTACCTGCAACTCATATAGGACAATCATGAAGGTCCCATATGTTGCCAATGAACTGCTTTGGTGGATGGCCATACAAAGTATGGGAGAGACTGCCCTGCTGGCACACATCATGGAGTTGAATGTGCTGCAAGTCAAAAGAGGAGAGATGAGATATATGATCCACACCAGTCCTATGCCACATACCTGGTGGACAAGGGACCCTACCCATCTGGATGGGTATGATCATCAATCATTGGAGGAAGTTTTGCAGGAGGCCAAGGAATTCTTTGTTGGGGTTGAGGTGCATGGTGGTCATTTTTCAATCATTCCATTGAATCCATCTGAGCCATAGGAAGGAAAAGACAGTCTCCCACTGCTGTGTGACATGGACCAGATGCCATCAGACAGCATCGGCTAGTTGATTGAAAGCTGTGACAAGATGATCCATCAGGAGGAGGAGATTCACTGGCTCCATGGTGTGATGGAATTCTGCAGTGAATGGCTCACCCTTTTTGACAGGCTTGGACAAGTACAGGACCAGCTTGAGGACTTCTGAGTCAATTCAGTTACCCAGCTGGGAGCCACCAATAAGTAGGGTGCTGTCCTCATTACACATCTCATTAGAATCTTGATATGTAATTTCCCCGGTTTCATACTATCTAGAGATATATGCACATTACTCTTCCAATTCATATCTTGAAGTACATCCTAGTGTT